TTTGCTGCGCAGTAGCCCTACCATTTAATGATTATCACACAGAATGGATATCTCATGCTCTGGATTGAATCTAATATTCTAGGAATAATTACTTCCACCAATAGATGTTCTTTGCAGCCTCTAAAATGGCAAGCAATTCAGCCTTAGTAGTAGAAGTAGTAACTATTTATTACTTCCCTGCGCGCTAATCCATGGCAGCACTGAATAGCTTCACTAGATATCCTTTGCTGCTGCTACAATCCAATTAGTCTGCATAGGTAGCATTGCTTGCAATGATAAAGATATTCCCTAATAAATTACCTCCATATTCCAAAGCATAGTCCTTTGTTAAAGCGAGATATACAATGACGCGATTGGCTGTGTTAAAATAAGCTAGTCTAGGATTTAATAGATATCTTAATAGATCAGATATTATCTTAGTAATATCTAAGTGAGTGATCACTGTGGCATAGAGAATTAATCTAATTTTAGATTAATAGTGTTATATCTCATGCACTGTAGCCTTTCTATTATAAGGGTGTAGATAATCTGTCATTACAGGCATTCACGCCTTCTAATTAGTGGAATCTAAATAATATCTTATAATAATCTTATTAATATATACTATTAGCTAAGCCATAGCTTCCATTTTATTCAATCTCTGCTAATCTTAATATTTAGGAAGCTCTCTCCCTCACCTAGATCATGGAATTCATATTATTCTTATAGTTTTAAATCAGATTATCAGCATACTTCTTACTTTTGAGATGGTAAAGAAATAGTATGTCATCCACAAATACTAAGATAACAGTCTTATCATCTATATAAAGGCATGAGTCTGTATTAATTCTTTATAAACCTATCTTGTTAAGGGCTTTTGAAATATCTCTCTACTAGAGGTGTGGTGCCCTTCATAAGCTATAGAGGCTTATTTCAACTAGTAAATATAACCATATTTAGAGAATCCTTCTACTATATAGGTATAGACCTCCTTATCTAGTTCACTATTGACAAATGTGTTGATGGTGTTAATTTACTATATATTAAGATTAAATACTACTGCAATAGCTATTAATATCTAAAATGTTTGTGCAGCAAGAGTAGTAGCTATAGTATTATTATATGTTATCTGCTGCATGTCTCCTTATATATAGATTTATGCCTTAGCCTTAATCAAGTAGCCTTCTTGATTGAATTTATATATAAAAACCTATTATAGTGGAATGATCTGCTTATCTCTAGGCTATTTAACCTTCTAAAAAGTTCCTCAAGCTAATAATATATTATGTTCTAACTCTGTAGCTGCTTTAAAGAGTTCCTTTAGTAGATGCTTTTGCATTTCCTTCCAGCCATCAGGTGCAGGCAGTATTTCATCTTAATAAAGTTATTTCTTTATAGATGCCTTATCTTATAGGCCTATTCTAAATGATGTAAATACTAAGTAGAATTACTTTAAGCTATCTATCCAAGCACTAGCATAGATATTTTATAAGGCTTGATGCTGTTATTTTCCTTTAATAATGTTATCCACTAAAAAATTAGTACTAATACTATGCTTTAGCTTCATTAGGAAATTATTAATGTTATCTAGACTATTTAGCTCAATACTTAATTAATTAACTTCCTCAAATAGCTGTCTTAAAGGTGAATCTTCTAGTAAGATATGATTTCTTCCTGTATCTACTTCTAATCAAACTGGGGACTTAGGAAGTGTATCTGTAAGCCTTATAGGCATCTCAGGCTCTAGGGAATTATTAATTCTTATAGGAGATCTCAGAGTCATTAAATCAAGGCAAATATGCTATTCTCTCTATAGGCTATTAATCCAGCCTCTAGGAATGCTATATTAGCTCATTCTTAATATATTATTCTACTTAATAGATTTAATAGGTTTATTATGTTAGATAGATCTTCCTAGCATAGCAAGAGGGGTTAGAGGTGTGAGGTTTACTTCTAGTAATTCTAGCATCTAACTACCTGCCTTATTAGGTATAGTTCCTTTACTTATTATATTAATTACTTCATTCACCCCCTAAGCTTTAACCTTATCTAACTTATTATCATTACTTAATTCTTCCTTCCTAATCTATATATCTTCATTTGTTGCATTAATTTTAATTGGTGGCACTAGCATATCTAATATCTTAATTACTTCTGCGTGGAATGGCCTATCTAGATTAAATATAATATCTTCATTAAATATAATATCTCTTTTATTAGTTATCTTCCCTGTCAGCAGATTCTATATCTTCTATATATTAGACGCAGTGTATCCAACAAGATAGCCTATCTAGGCCTGTGGATCCAGCTTCTTTATTCTTAGAATCTTATATTATCTAATATACATTCTGCATCTATATACACGCAGATTTACTAAAGATGGCTTCTTGCTATAAAGCTTCTCATATAGTATGATCTAGATCTATTTCTTCTATCCATTCTCCTCTACTGCCTCTCTTCACAGCTATTAATTATGCAGGTAGACAGCAGCATAGAGAATATATAGCCATAGCTTCTTAGGTAATCTTACAGCTATTCTCATGCTTTAGGCTATTTTAATTATTAATCTTCTAGTACATTTGACTAGGCCCTTCTGCTCATTAATATATCATATTAAATAAATAATCTCAATGCCTTCATCTTTCATAGTGCATATATATTTATTTCTAAGTATTAGTTTATGGTCTAAGAACATCCTCTTTAGCTTGATATTAAATTACATCTTAACCCATTTAATAAACTGCTGTATTTGGCCATTAAGCTAATCTTTATCTAGATGTGTGTAGATGACATGCCATCTAGTTAATTTACAGATGAAATGCATGGCCTAACAATCACTATTATAGGTAATAGTCATTAGAATCAGATTAAAATGAACACTTTTAAATGGCTTGGTTAATCTCTCTCTGGGTGTTTGAGATATTTACTTATAGGCCTTCACTAGCCTGCATGTCTTGCAGATTGATCTCTTATAATTTAATACTTTTGCACTAATAGATGCCTCCTCTAGATGCTATATGGCTTCATCTCCTAAATATACTAGCTGTTTATGCCATCATTCACTAGTTTCAGTGGATTTATGTGGCTATTCTGAATATTAATTCATTGCAAAGACATTTAATATTAGATTATATTCCACCACTTCTAGATTACATCTTATTTCTATGCAGTAAATTAGCTTCCTATGCTGATCTTCTATGGTATTAGTGTATTAATTAAGATAAAATCTATACTTCTTCATATGAAAGGTTAAAAGTAAATTTATATAGTACTTAGATATATAGGCTACTCTGCTTAGTTCCAGGATATATAGCATTCTATTTATTCTAATTGCTTTTAGTTTGACCCTCCTGTATCTGAGGATTTGCATATTTATTATACTAAAACGCGCATACTTGTCTTCCACTGGTTTGTAGGTAAGGAATTAAGTTTAACTATTATAGATATTAATATCTACTCCTAAATTAATAATCTAACTATCTTATAGCTCATATGCATTACTTCCTAGTGAGAATACTATAGAATTACTTTAAATAATACTTATTACCATGCAAGATATTCCCTGCTTCTAATTTACTTACTTAATTACTTATTCTATAGCATATCACACTCTTAGTTTCATCTGCTTAAGCTACTTAAATTATTCTATAATCTCTGCATTTAGCTTCCATCCATTCAGCCTTAATGATTTAATTAAATATAGGCACTTATTAAACATATACTTCTCTCTGCAGGCGTAGTCTTCTAGGCCTTGCTTAGGCTATTTATTTAGCTGTTCATTTCCATAATTCTGATTGGCCAAATCAGAATTCTATTAATCAGAGGATTATCCCTTAAAGGTGGTAAATATGCTCTTCTATTCTCTTTAACTAAGGGATCACTATTATTTATAGAAATAGTAGATCTTATTAAACATATCTAATAACTTATCCTTTATTAATTTATTTAATCTTATCTAGGCATATGATTGATCCAGGCCCCTTAGTACTGTAAGGAAGGACCTGGTTACATCTTCCCTAGTAAAGCTCTTTAATCCAAGTCAATTGTATTTACTTATCATATCTTCCTATTTGCCTAGCTACATCTCAATATTCTGATTGGCTGGCTTTAATAGGAGTTGGTTATATCTTGCCATAATATGTAATATCTAATCTTCCTTCTTTAGCTCCAGCTTGGCCTTCAGCTTTAAATATCTTTAATGACATAATCTGATTTATTAGTGAGCTACCTGAGATGCTTCTACGCGACTGTTTACTCTATTTCTTACTAAATAGCTACTAGGCCTTGCTCTGCTTCCTTCCATTCCTTATAATATCTCTTCTAACTGTTGACTTAATAATTATATAAGGTTTTTGATTCAAGATCTATTGCAGCTCTCTGATTGGTTGATTCCAAATCATCTGGATGAATTAGCTTTAATAGGCGCGGCATTTCTCTAAGCAAGATCTCTTTCACTCTATAGCTCATTACTATACCTTTTATATGAGAGTCCCAGTTCCACCAATCATCAGGCAAATCTAGCACGATGGGGACCTTCCTGATGGATCTTATTAGCTTAGCATAATACTCCATGTTGGCTTCAAGATAGGGTGACGGCGGTGTTAATATAACTTCAATTCTTCCGAATCAGGCAATTCTAATGAGATATCTCGCTAATACTATAAGATAGAGCTCTCCAATATGCAGGCCTGGAAGAATGATCCAAACAAATCAATCTGTGCGTCTCTTAAGGGCAATCCGGGCTCATAACTGTTAAAATCACTAAAATATGTAAACTTTCCAAATCACTAGTAAACTATATGGCCAATTGAAAATCAATGAAGGTCTGATTCTTCTAAACGAATGACTATCTATCTCCTATATATGCCTTCGATAGGGGTCGGATTGCAGGTCTTCTAATGATCGAATGCTATCGAATATTCGGCCAAGAGTGGCAGTGCTTCGCCAATTCATATGCTTCCAAATCGGGCAAGCGGTAACATAATTCAATACTTCATCTACCATCAACCTACTGATGGCCTCCGCAACAAACACCACCGCAATCCACGCCAGATTCAGACATGGACGGTGTTAGGACAATCCAGAGCCATCCTCAGGGAATCTATACAATCTAACAGAGATCGTTGTCAAACTAGCAGCTCAACCAGCTGCTAGTACTACCTTAAAGAAGGCACAACTCCGCTCATATGTAGCCATGGGATGCAGTCTCCCCAGAGAAAGGGTGTGAACAACACTCTGCTCATTATTCTTCTGAGCCAGAAGAGCAGCGACATTGGCATCTGTAACCATAGGAATCAGCAGTAGCAGGGTTGTTCTGCATATCCCCCTATCCAATATGCAATATACCCCATAATCAAGCATGGCTGGTTCAGGCTCAACCTCAGAGTAACTAAGCTCTATATATAAATCAAATGGCACAGTCACTCCATTTCCCTTCTTTCTCAAGAACCAGACACTTATGTATTGAGCTGACCTAGCTTATTCGCTCCTTTTCGCTCCCTTTTGTCAGTGAGCAAGATGTGGATCTCTCTTTCTGCCACTCTTTCCTGGGTATATATCCTTTCCTATTTTGTCCTCATCCTATCCAGTTCCCACGCCCACTGGGACCATGCTGCCCATCATCAAGCGTTTATCTCCCCTCGGGGAGAGGCGGCTGTTTTGCCCCCAAATGTGGCGGCGCACAACGCGACCTCAAGCCAGATTGCAACCGCCCATCAGATAGTCAGAGAGGCCGTTGCGGAAATGACCAAGCGGAATCAAGCCCGTCTTGCCCACCCGTCACGTAACAACTACTCTATGAAGCCAGGGACAAAGCTAGGTAAGCATGACAACATGGCTGCACCGCCGCCTCTACTCAATATCACCAACCAGATTGCCCGCGCGGCAGCGCTAGTAGCCAAGCTCAAAGCAGGTGGCTTAGCTGTAGAAACTACACCAAGTTATACCAGAGGGCGGGAACATTCTGGATGGAGGGGATTGAGCAAAAGGGTGCCATCCTGTAGGGAGATAATCCTAACTATAAGGTGTCTACTCTCCAGCAGCTAATCCCCTCAACAGCTTCGATCCCAAAGACTACGCTGACATGATGCAACTTGTAGGTCTTTTAACATATTATTAACAACTATAGGGCTGATCCCACAGGTCAAAGAGTTAGTACACCTAACAGAAGCACAGTATAGATGATGGGACTAAATAATGGTAGGATTCTACAGCAGCAATCCAAAGGGCCATCGATGACGGCAAGCAATGTGGCGCCGCTTGCAATGGGGCCACTACCAAAAATGCCATTATATATTTCCCCCCAGAACATACCTTATGTCTAGCTTGATTAGCATTTACTTCAGCACTCAGATCATTAGTGATGCAAATAACTGGCCAACCATCTGAGCCACCTCGAGCTTTGTCAGTCTCGGAGTCTTGTCCACAGACGTCTATGTTAATAACAGTGGAGACGGGCCCGATGGCAATGCGCTGGAGTGGTATATCAACACTGCGCGGTTTTATAGCCAGATTCGCAATTTGAAGATTGATATCACAGCAAGCAATCCAGGTGCCTATATGGTTGCACTCCACTATCAGGTGGCCCAGGCGACAACAATTAAGAATGTTAAGATCATCACAGATTCTGCCATGGTAGGTGTTGAGACTTTCAAGTCCACTAGCACTTAATTAGAGCCGGCTGACTATTTTACCTGACAGACTCAGCAAGGCATGTACGCAGAGAATGGTAGCAGGGCGTCATGTTAGACATCACTTTCACCAGCAGCAACTTCAGGATTTGTAAGTGAGACCCAGCAGTCTAAGCCTCAACACTAACAGCTCGCAGATGGAGGCAGTCAGCAGTTTAGTGTCACGCAGTTGACCTTTAATAGCTGCAATACTGCAGTCAAAGTCATCTGGGACTGGGGTTGGGTATAGAAGAGCATCATGGTCAAGAACGCCAAAGTTGGATTCCGACTATACAACGATGCCAACGGGCAGATCCCAGGCTCAGTAACCATTATTAACTCAGTCTTCTCCAGTACCAAGTCTTTTGCAATTAAGATGGCCATCCCAGTTAACTGTCATGGACTCCAGATTCACCGGGTTGGTTTTAGATAATGTCCAGCTAGATCGTCCAATCAAAGACCATTAGAGTGACAACCTGATCCTCTTTTCCGGATATTACAAGAGCGTATATTGCTACCCTAAGCTGCCCCCATTCAGGTCACAATCTTTGCTGATTCAACAAACAGTATGTGATGGGGGCAACGTATAAGGAAAACAAACGGTCCTGGACCAACGGGTCAAAGGACTATGACCAAGAACCCTCTCTCCTGGGACCATCTGTCGCGGGACTCGATGTGGCTCCTTACTTTGAACGTCCCAGGAACCAGTACGCTGACAAAACCGCAGTAGACTTTGTTCATCTCAAGGATGAAGGTGCTGCTGGCGACGGCTCGACGGACGACACGGACGCTGTTCAGAATGCCTTCAATAAATATGGCGATGGCAGCAAGATCATCTTGGTAGATGCCGGCACCTACATCATCAAACGCACCGTTACTGTTCCCAAGAATGTGAAGATCATCGATGAGACCTGGTCGCAGTTTGCAGCATCAGGAGGTTACTTTGGCGATGCCAGCAAGCCCGCGGTCATGCTCAGGGTCGGCAACGAGGGGGAGGTCGGCAATGTCGAGCTACAAGATCTCATCTTGACAAGCAAAGGTCCGACCCCGGGAGTTATCCTGATGGAGTGGAACGTCGCCGCAGAAAGCGCAGGCTCGGCCGCGCTGTGGGATGTCCACGTACGGCTGGGGGTGCAACGGGACCGAGTTGATGCCGACAGAGTGTCCTCCGATCACCACTGGGACCAATCCATCTTCATGTCAAGTGGCTAGCATGCTCCTACACGTCACCAAGCGGGCTTCGGGCTATTTTGACAACATGTGGCTTTGGGTGGCAGACCACATGATTGACGATCCGTTGCTCGATGACCCATTGAACAACATGGAACAGCTCTCCGTGTACAGTGCACGGGGCATGCTGATCGAAAGCCAAAAGGCCACATGGCTGTACGGACAGCTTCGGAGCATAGCGTCTTCTACCAGTACAACTTCAATGGCGCCCAAAACATCTTCACCACGTTCTTGCAGACCGAATCACCTTACTACCAGCCGACGCCGAAGCCCCCTGCACCATTCGACCAGGTGGTCGGCACCTTTGACAGCGATCCCAAGTACGGCTGCGATGGCAGCGATGCGGACGGCTGCGATGCCTCGTGGGCTGTCATCATGAAAAACTGCCAAAATGTCCATATCGGGTCTGCGGGCACGTACTCTTGGTTCCGCACGTACACGCAAGACTGCATCGACGTCCACGGTTGCCAGAAGGCGCTGTGGCTTCTCGGCAGCAACTACGATAACAATCGATTACAACATGTGATTGGGACCGGCGCGAAGAATATCATCGTCTCTCCGGACGGGACCACAATCACATCTGCAGCAAACCTCGCGGTCTCGAGCCACCCGAGTTGGGCGCACATCTCACTGTATGAGCTGCCATCCATTGGCGCGGCGCCCAAGCCTGGCGACGGGGGAGATGACCAGTGTTCAAATGCGGCCCGTCAATATAGCAGTGAATACGTGCCACCCGGGGAGATTGAGCTATGGTCAAACGATGGTACCGTGCTAAATCATGCCGACGACACAGACGGTCAGCAGTCTGTGACGATTGTCAATTTAACCCCCTACAAATTCATCCATACGGCGGGCCCCGAACCCTACCAGTTCTCGACCTGGCAGTTTGGCGACGTGCCCTCGGGCGGGCGTTGAAGAACAACGTCACGTACGATCTGGGCCTCAAGGTGGGCAGCTTCGTCGACACCAACGGGTACGCCTACTATCAACTCGAGAACACCGACAAGACCTTTGCCGTGCACGTTACCAACGCACATCCCGGACAGCTACGAGCGCCGCGTGGTCTTTGACCTCGGCGGCATGGGCCTGGGCTGGCGCGAGCTCGGATTCCCTGGTGAGCGGGTCAGCGTGGCACTGGTCATCAGCGGCAGTGAGGAGTACGGCTATGTCACCTCGCTGCAACTCAACAACGCCGACTGGATGAACCGCATGTATGCGATCATCAAGGATCGCGAACTGCGTCACGTCGTCGTCCCTGGTTCGCACGACGCCGGGATGAGCAG